TGGTTGCTTGCATACGGGAGGAGCAAGAGGCGCAGAAGGTCTCGCAGAGCATCTAATCCATCAACATCTGCATCAGTTACCCCATCATGGAAAGTCTTCAACAATGAGGAACTGAGGCCAATTACAAAGAATTTCAGTGAAGGTAACCGTCTTGTTGGAAATGCCAAGACTGGTGGCACATATAGTGGGCTTTTATCGGATGGAACAAGGGTAGCAGTCAAGAGATTGAAAAGGTCTAGCTTTCAAAGAAAGAAGGAATTTTATTCAGGGACTGAAAGAGTTGCAAAGCTCCATTATCCTACTGCTGTGCACGGTGTGCGTCCATCCACTATGCCTGGAGTTACTAGTTGGAAGTGCTTATTCATTGGCAGGACCTGCCTGATTTTGAAGATTCATGGGAGCCTTTTGACTTACTTCGTGACCAATTTCCTCATTTCAACCTTGAGGACAAGGTTAGACTTTGAGCGGCGGGTAATGATAGACCCCCAATTAATTTTACGTATGCCAGGAAAGGGAAAGGTCAGCTTTCGACCAAGGGGGGAAATAATTGAACATGTGGGAACTTATGGCTGGAGGGAATAAGGAGAGTTTTTTAGCATTTATAGCTTGTCAGTTGGGAATAAGAAGAGTAGCATTTATAGCTTGTCAGTTGGGAATAAGAAAAGTAGCATTTATAGCTTGTCAGTTGGGAATAAGAAGAGTGTGGGGCATTTATAAGTTGGTCAGCTGGGCATTTATTATGGAAGGCAGTTATGCTGTAAGATGTGTATAAGAAGGGGCTTTGGGGGATGGAGGAGACAGAATTTTGTTGAGTACAGAATTCTGAGAGTGCTTGGGAGAGACGGTGGTCTCTCGAAGAACCGACCTACTGTAAGTGATCTTCTTTTCTTCCGAATGAATATCAGTTCCCTGTTGATGTACTAGTGGTTTGGATTCTGCTGTGAGTCTGTGAACTGCGTGTCAAATTTCTGGGTCATATCACATTCCTTCTTGGTTGGAGCTGGGAAGGAATAATACAGCTATTCCCTGCCTAGGACCAACTTTAATGCACCTAATAGGTTTCTGAATTAAAACCAGATCTATGGACAATGTATGATCAATCAAGTAAAGGTATGCACATGGAAATAAGAATAAATCTGCTAAAAAGAAAAGATTTAGCTGAAATCAACTCAACTCATCCTTAATCCCAACTATTTGGTACATGAATCTTGTCCTGCCATTTTACTCTATCAAGAGCTATGTATTCTGTCAAATTGCAAGTCCTTAAATCATTTTTAACCAATATAGATCATGTTTTCTTTCATCTTCCAATTGCTTTTTTGGAGCCTTCTACTTGCACAAGTTTCTACTCACTGGTGCAATTCATTTATACACATGACCAAAACATCTCAGTCAACATTACATTGTCTTGTCACCAATTGGAGCTGTGTGCCTATGTCCTTAATGTGCTCATTTCTAATTCTGTCCTTTCTAGTTTTTCCAATCATCCATCTCATTCAACATGTCTCTTGATTGTGTAGCACTCTGTCCCATATATCAATGCTGCTTTTAATTTATTTTTTATAAAATTTCCCTTAGTGCATTAATTTTAATTTCCCATTTCTTGAATGAAATAGAAAAACTAGAACCTAGGAATACTTGCATAAAGAATTAGGTGCCAATCAACTGTTGTGCAACCGTACATTGTTAAAATCTTCAAACCCATAAGTACAATGGAAATGCTTGAAAAATATAAATAAATAAATAAAATGGAAATCACATAAAATGAAAAAAAAGGCTAGTATCAGACAATTGTACTGCAGGGATGACCTAAAATTTTGGGGAGAATACAGAACTTGCAAGTCCAAGAAGTCAGACATTCACATCATCATATAGGTCTCAGGCACCAAAATAAAAAAAATCAAGCTCATCCAAATGCCAAGGACCTAATGACTATGAAGATTTGAGGTCAGTCACACAGATTATCCTATAATGTTCTATTCTCTCTGGTTAAGTATCTTCTGTTAAATCATGTATGCTCTCAGCTCTTCTTTTTTTTTTCTATAAGTAACTCTCTCAGATCTTCTCTCATTTAACTATATATACAATCATGAAAAGAAGCCGTTAACTGTTCAGAGTTCCATTGCCAAATTCATCTGAAATAGAAACAACAGTCACAAAACCAATAGAAAAGAAGAACTCTTTCAGGTTCAGACTTTAAAACAATGCTCCGAAAACTGTTGGGATGCACATGTGAGTGTATGGGAAGAAACATCCCACATTGGAAAGGAATGAGAGGTGCAAGAGAATACATGGATTGGCCCAATGGCTTAAGCTTTTGGGTTAAAGGTGGTGTTCAACTCTTGTGTGTAAGTCCCACATATGTGCGCAAGATCCCTAGTTTTGGTGACTCCCCTCAATGCACAACAAAAACTAGACTAGAAATCAAAGCAGAAAGGGACTTGACTTCAGCTCTCAGCTTTCCATGTTTAATTCGGCTGCTCAACCTCAAGACTACCAGAACAGGCCAGTTTTCATTGAAGTGAACCTGGTTGAACCCAATCAAACAGATCCATCCTGTTTTCAGAATATTAGTTTAAAGTATTAAAAAAACACCAAATATCCACCAAAGGGGAGAACCAACCAGTTAAGCAAAATAACCGAGCAATTCCTTTTAGAACCATTAAACTACAAATAATGCTCTTCCTAGTTATTATCTTCCCCTAAAAGAAGATTATTTGAGAAGACCTCAAATTCCTGATTTCCTTAGATCAGAGAGTTAGATGGTAAATCCCAATTGTCTGTTTCCAAAGTGGAAGTTTTAGTAATGATAACTACTTATACCTGGCAAATACTTATGAAGGTTTCCATGCACAAATGATAGATAGTTATTAACTTGTAATTGTCTCAGGTTAACAACATACCCAAAAGAAAAAGAAAAGATATTTGATAAAAACCTCATTTTCTCTGCACAAATCAACCTTTCAATGAACTTAATATATACTTTTTTCTTCCCTTCAATTGTTCAAGATTGGTCATCAAACTCAACTCTTATAAACTCAATGGATATAAATAGTCTAGGACTAGGGAGATTTAATTTGGCAAAATATATAAGAACTATGTTTTCATCTTTTTTATACGGTATTATATTTTCATCTTCACCATGATCAATATCTCAATAAAACAGTCCACTAACGAACATATAATGCCTTTTTTTCTCTATGCTCAAACCAATAAGAAGTCTACATTATCCAATTTTGTTGGTCCTGTTAATTGCTTGACAGAGGTCATTCTTACCAGTTTTTCTTTACCAAGTTCATCTATTCCATTGCTACCACTTATATAGACTTGTCCTCAAGCCTCTAAACTTTTCAAAAGAAATATGTGAATAATGAGCAGAGGTAGATAACTAAGAAACTTGCGCAAACATATTTAATCTGAATATCAAACTATATATATAATCCCAGAAGTACAGCAATTCTACCTATATATACACAAATATTCACTTTGTGGTACTGAAGTAGAAAAAATGTCTGCTGATCAAAGTTCAAATCAAAATTGAGTTTACTCTAAAGAGTCAACAATGTTAACCACTGGTATCAACATTTTGAGGACCTTGTAATTAATGGAAATCATCAGGAATCTTAGATCCAACAAACAAAACCTTGGTTTGGGCAATGAACAAAACAGACCTAAAAACTCTTTATATACATATTCCTACTTCTTGTATAGTACCATATAATTATTCATGCAACTTAAATAATCATTGAGAAAGGTTAGGAAGTTTCTGTATTGGATGTTATCAGTTTTAAGGAATCACCTATTACCTCCTATAATCTGTACTTGGGGTTAAAGATTATCAAATTATAGACTTAGTTTGAATCCTATGTTGGGAATCCTAAAATAAAGGAGAATTGTCAAGCCACGTTAGATTAGTCAATCATTATATTCCATAAAATTACAGGATGAAGTATCCCTCTATCAAACATGCCACATAATCATTTCATACAGCTTGATTTTGTATAAAAAAGGCCTCATATTTCAAACAACATGATGCCCAAAACATATCACGTTATACAGCCAATTTTTCAATGGTATCATATGCATCATCTATATGGCATATCTACTGAAATGTAAAATGTCATGATCCCAAGATATGTGAATTTTGAACTTCCCGAGGTAATGAATTATGATTCCAAAAGCATCAAGACTTTTAAAGTGCAAGGGGTTCCTAGAGCCTAAGGCACAAGGAACAAAGGCAAGGATGAAGCACACACCTAAATGAAGTGAGGCACCACTTATGGAAAAAAGAAGTAAAATAGAAAACCTTTCTATATGATTCCCTATATGCGTTATTTCTTATAACAACTGGGTTTCAACGGTGCAAAGATCATAGACCAATGTTTGGTGACAGAAGCACAGAAGACTTGTAATTGTTCACCCTTGTTATCATAGTGGCAGGACCAAAATAGAGGCTAAAGTTTATTATTTCATTTTACTTCATAAATTTTCTGCAATCCAAGTAGAATTTATTTTGCCTTATTTGGATTGATTATTTAATTGCATTTCTTCATCTAGTAATATCTGCTTCTTCTTCAGGTCTCAAGTCTAATGAAAAAGGACAAGATGCATGTCACTTGCCAAAAAGAGGAAATGTACTTCCATAGTCATGTCTGCCTAGCAAGCATTAAGATTTAATCTTATACTACATAAATCAAATGCAAATACAATGTAGAGATAAATGCAGACAGAAAATAAGCTTTCTTTGGGATATGGAAGAACTACCCTTAAAAGCAAAATAGCGGTAGAACTACCCTGAAAAGTGATAACTTTCAATGTCATACGCATACCCTTCACAAAATCATGCAAACCAAAAGTATTGGCCAACTGTGATCTTGCAGTTTTCCCCAAATAACAGCAAGCCCACAGACAAATGGCATTCCTTATTATTAAGACCAAAAGCAAAGTGGACAGGCAAGATTTTTTAAAAGATTCAAAGTAAGAACAATAACGACATCAATTTAGTAGACTTAAACATATAGGAACCCAATTTGTTGTTCTACGACATACAACACAAGGAACCTGAACATGTTGCTTAACTATATATATGTACTGCTACTGCAGCAGCCGTCTTACCAGAACCCACAACCAGTCGAACTATCTATAAGCATGATGGTTAATGTTTTCCTTTTTCAAGCCAAATGCAACAACTTAAATCATAAACAAGATGGTCAATAATCATGATCCAGAGGCTCCGTAAGACTAGCAAAAGGAACCCAATAAAAGTCATTGCAGTAATGGCTGAAAGCCTGAAAAGATATCAACAGTTCAATAGATTTCCAATGGCAAGGTCTCATATTCATCAAAAGCACAAACATGAACAAATATATACATGCACATGCACATAAAGGCATGCAAGCTCCTTCAGATTTTTTTCCTTTTTTTTGGCTTTTATTTATTTATTTCTTTATTATTTTTATTTATTTATTTTTTTTTTTTTGGGGNGTAGGGGAGGCTATAGCCTGTAGGTAACATGATGTATAATTCCAAACTACATTACAACATCAGTCTAGAACTTTCACAAGCCGAAGCTGATAATAAAGTTACAGAGACAACGATCCTCACTACCACAAATCGGATGTTCCTGGAGAAAAACAACAGAAGTAAGGGAAAGGAAATTGCCTTTGTCATTCAATCTTACTCTCAGTTCCCAATAAAATTCTTAAAAGAACAGGTAAGATACGCATTTCATAGCACAATCAGACAAAATACACATACAGATAAAGTAATAACCATTCAGAAGAACAACAAGAACAGAACATATTTTACCATGAGAGGCAGAGATGGGTGAGCCCTAAGCAAATAGCATCTCTCCACCCAGTACACACTCCTGAAGCTATGATGGCTGTCCGGTCGTCAACAAGTGATACAATCCGCAACAAAAGCTCCATTGGAAGGTCCTTCCAACCAGTCATCACGGCTCCTCCTCCCATCTTCTCTCTTCCACCGCCAAACACCACAAGCTTCTGAAAGCACAATTCCAAATCTTCAGCCTTTGCACCCTGCCCAACCATTTTACTTCTCAAGAACGACGCCTTCTACAACAAAGAAAGTAGAGAAACAGAGGCAGAGCTTCAATACTCAAGACATAAATTCAGAAAAATGCAATGAAACGACAAGGGAGATAACCCCCAAGAAACCCCATCTGTCAACAACGTAGAAAAGTTGCGAATGTTTCATAATTATTCCATAAATGAGAGACCCCACAACAGTTCAATACACTGATACAGAGCCTGAACAGACGTCATTAAACATGCCGGTGGAAAGAGCTTTCGGTGGAGAAGGGAATCACAGATATAAACGTAAAGAAAAAAAAAGTCGATTTTTGATAATATCCTGCTTTGGGGAACATCGATTACATCAACTGATTCAAGTCCAAGCATCAACGGACATAAAAATTTTCAAATAAATAAGTAAAAGACATATTTTCTCAAATGGGTTTGACTAAATAACTAAAATATGGATAGCGAGTGGCAAAAACTAGACTGAAAATAAAATAAACCCGAAATCATCAGTTAAATCAAATATTAGCAATTGCAGAGTCGTATATGATACGAGTAAGAAATCGCAGTGAAAGAAAATGGACAAAAAAAAGAACTTAATCCAGAGGCCATTAAAATATAGCACATAAGCACGCGAAACAATAAATTATGATTGATTTTAGCATGCTCCGATGGAAACAGTCGACAAGCATAAAAACGACGCAAGAGTCCCCCTTAAAATTCTAGAAAATAATCTGATAAAAAGAAAAGGTTCAAACTTTCAGCTTAGAAACAATTGAAATGGACGGAAACAAGACTTCAAGATTAGAAACAAGAGAGATTACCTTCAGAAATTTGGTCAAAGGAGGAAGAAAAAAAGCAGGAAGAAAAAAATGACAGATGATCAGACTGATTCAAGAAAATGAAAGCTAAAGTATAAGATGCAGATATAGAGAGAGAGAAGAGAGAGAGAGAGAGAGATTTACGATTTCGAAGGAAGCTTGACTTTCTCGAGGGTTCTTTTTTCTTGTTTCGGCTGCCACACGTTGTTGTGATTGAGGAGGGAAACGAGGAGGGGGGAAGAAGGAGAAAAAGAGAAGGGAGAGACGTGAAGGGAAGAAGGGAAAGGGTGACGAGTGGCGTGCCACGTGTCAGGAAAAATGACGGAAGTGAGGGTAATAGAGTGTGGGATCCACCCCAAAGGCTTCTGCTCTTTGTTTAAACGGAGGACGAGAATCAAAGAGAAAATAGAAAATTAGCTTTTGCTCTTTCTTTTCTTATTTATAGAGAGAGAGTGAGAGGTGGGAGACAAGATTACTTTGTCGATAATCGAAACCGCCACGAAAAGTGGGCATCTCTCCTTTCATTCTTTTTGCTTTAGTGATTTTTGAGTTAAATGTATGTGATTAACAATTCGATGAAAGAACTTTGATCAATGATCAGAGCCCTACAATGAGTATATTTAGCCTTTCTACAAGCTTCTCTCATGTATTTAGACTTAGCATAAAGTGGGTGATTAACTTGAATAAATTATTTGCCTAGACGTATAACAATTGGAAAATAATTGGATTCTGATGTGAGGTGACTCAACCCAACCCATTCGGGGATAGAGGCCTAGCACACTAGCGCTAGACCTATGAACGATATCCGCTATAGCAAGGGCTATTCTGCTCCCCCTCGTATGAAATCAATCGTGGAGTACCCATGCATTCCCGTAGAGCTCTCCGATTGCCATCGTACGACACCTATCTTAGGCGTTCATCTCCACCTACCTCCAAGCGACTCAAGTATAAATAGGGGTGCCCCCCTTCAGGTAAGGGGGATCGAATACAATCTGCATCTAGACTTGGAACTGATATCAAAATCTATATTCTAATTCCCCTCTTCATATCCCGTACTAACTTGACTGTCAGAGACTCCACCTCAGCTTCTCACCCGGGGCCTCTGACGCATTTTTCCTCACAACACCTCAGCTACCTACCCTCGGCTTCTACAGTATTGGGAGCCTTCTCTACCTCGGCCTACATACCTTGGCCTCGGCAACAAGCTCCCCGAACCCTCGAAGCTTTCGACTAGTCTTCGGAGTCTAGGGGAAAAATTACTTTGTTGTCCTCGGCCATGCCGAGCATCAACAGGTTCTATCCTATCTCCTTTGGGATGTAAAATTAGACTGAGAAATTTGTTTTTTTTTTTTAATTTCCATTTTAATTACATTGAAGCTTCATCAATGGAGCATTTAGGAACCTCATCCACCACTTCATTTTCATCATGTTGGGGGTTGAGGACCTGAGTTTTACTGCTGAGATAGATAAAGTTCATACAGACTTTTAGGGGGCATTCTTTTTTTGGATTTTGAGAAAGGAAAATCTGGTCTTTTTTCATATTAATGTGGGAATTAGGGACAGTTTATTTTCCTAAGGGGGCTTTCTTTTTTTGGATTTTGAGAGGGGGGGGGGGAGTTGGTCAATGAGATTTTGGTTCCCATTGACAAAGAATCCTATGTTCTTTTTTCAGATTTATGTGGGGACCAAGGAAAGTTTATTTTTCTTTGAAAAAAGAACATGGGATTCTTGGTCAATGGGAACCAAAATCCCATTGACCAACTTACCCCCCTCTCAAAATCCAAAAAAAGAATGCTCCCTAAGTATCACTCACCTAAGTAAGTAGTACCTATCTCCTAGGTGGGTAAATAACTTTCCCACTTGGGGGGAAAGTTTCCAACACTTGAATGGGACAAGAATGCCCTTTTCAATAATGAATTTTTATGGTTAAAATGGTCATTTTCTCTTTTACTTGAAAAATAAAAAGAACATGAGTAAATACACTTACCTGGGTAAGTGCTTCCCAAGAAAACTTACTTAAGTAATTGCATTTATCCAGGTAAGTAACTTACCGAAAAGCGAATGGGGCCTTAATTCAAGTTGGGTTTCAAGTATTTTGTATTTTGACTGTTTCTAAGTTTGGATCTCAATAATTTTTTTATCAAATTTATGTTTCTTATTTTTTATCAAACCAAATACAGTATAAGTGAGGGTGTTCCACAATTTATCAAAGATATACATATATTGGCAAAAACACCTTTAGTTTATCAAAATGTCACACCAGATCCTCTTCATATTTTAATGTTAGACCCGTACTATGGGGTTAGGGACAATTACCCTCTAAACTTTCATTTGTGATAAAAATCCCTGAACTTTTACTTTTCATAGGACTGCCAATGGATCGGGTCTGATCGGGTTTAAGTAAAACCGGAAACAACCTGATAAGATATACAAAGGATTTAGAACCAGACCAAACCCAGTAGGTTTTGGGATGTTTTATAATATGGATGAGAAATTGGTGGGTGTGGACTAGTCCACACCACATCCTGTGGCAAGGACCAATCCACACCACACCACTATCAATAGTTACCTACACTTACAAGGGTGATCTACAGGTTACTCATTCCGTACATTTCACATACAATTTGTGGGATAATTTACATAATCGATCATGAATGAAAAAAAAAACCATAATTTAAGCCAAAAATATTGGAAAGAATAATGGGTAAAATAAAACGCTTATATATAATTACTAATAAATATAAAATAAATATATTTGTCATTACAATATCATCTTTAGTAATAAATAATTTAAAAAAAGAATTTCAATATAAATTAAATATGCTAAAAGATTAAATAAAATAAGGGTAATTGAACCATTGTAACATAAATGTGTTTCACCGAATCTTTCCTACAAACTATCCACCCTATAGTGTAGTCCATTCATGAGAAAATACTATGGATAATAAATTGGAGTGTGGCATGTCCTTGTATGTGCTATTTTGTGGATGAGGACTGTCCACACAAAACAGAATGCCACATTCTATTGTAGACAAGACCAAAAAAGTTCCGCCCACGATGTATTCACACTACCAAACACCCTTTTTGTAATTATATACATACATACATATTCCCAAGTTGGGTCTAAGACAATTTGGGACTAGGTAGAACTGGTTCTAAAGCAACAATAATTGGGTCAATATATCAAGAACGGAACCGACACATTGACAACCCTAACTTTGTGACATATATCCCCTAGTTGTTAAGTTACATGATGAAATGCATCAAATTACCAAAATACACACCTAAATTTTTCTTATTTTCATTTTCTTACCCTTTTCTCTTAAACCCTAACTAACCCCAAAATACCTCTATTTTCTTCAAACAAAACTAGCTAAAATAACAAGAATCATTTCACTAACATAGAAAAACAAGTTTCCTTAAATTCTATTTTCATTTCACTAACATGAATGTCTCTCTTCATCTTAAAATATAAAAATATCCACTCCTTCCTCTAATAAACCAAGAAAAACTAAATGAAACTTTAAATTTATATTTATCAAAAAGAAACCTCTAGCATTTCATTTGAATATTGAATCCAACCACAAATATGCAAGGATCTACTAGAGCAACCGAGAAGACTTTAATGTTATATTTAGAAAATTAATTGAATCATAAATTGTTCAGTAAATAAGAAAAGGGTAGTTTGGAGATTTGGAAATTTTAAACAATTGAATGAGAATTTTTTTTTTCAAAGTTAACTGATAGAACTATGTTGGATGGGGGTATTTGTTGCAAAATGAAAGTAAAAGGGTTAATTGTCACTAACATACACGGGGGGTCATTGTAATTTACCCTTTAAAAAAACTCAACTTTGGTTTTAATTTAGTGCGTCTTTGGGAGGGCTTTCATGTAGCAAGTTCTAACATTGCATGATCCAAGAAACCAGAAAAGTTGTCAAGTTGTGTTTGGTAAAAATCCAAAAAAGTAAAAAAATGCTTACATGAACTGAAAAATCAACTTTATGATGAAGAATAGGTAACTTCTTAAAGGCAATTTAATCAATGCAGTCCAATCACTGGCATCAATTTGGGTTGAAGCTAAGATCCATATTTAGAATTGGGCAAAAGTTAGGTTTTTGTTGGCAAATTAAGTTTTTGTGATCAATTTTGGTTTAGCTAACATCCATATTTAGAATTGGGAATGACTTAAATTTTTGTTGGCAAATTTAGGTTTTTGGCATAAATTTGGGTTTAAGATAAAGTCCATATTTAGAGTTGATCATGTGGCCCTTAACCTGGCTCAATCCATCTAATTTATTGAGAGCAAAAAGGGTTGAGAATATTGTGTGTGTGTGTGTGTGTGAGAGAGAGAGAGAGAGAGAGAGAGAGAGAGAGAGTTAGTGAGTAAGAGAGAGGAATGATCTTATTGAAGAGAGTAATGACTGACCTTATCAAAGACAATTGAGATTACAGAGGGTTTTTATTTTTATTTTTAATATTTTCAAGGGAGAATTCCTAATTAGTACCCTGTACTTTGGGCCTAGTGCCACTTTGGTCCCCGAACTTTAAAATGTGAAAATTCAATACCCAAGCTTTCAAAACGTACCAATCCAGTACCTATCGTTAATCAACTATCAAGTGGCATTTGAAAAGACACAAATTCCCTTCGAGTGTCATCTAATTTTCTTTATTAACCATTCAAATGTTGATAAAAATGAATAGTCCCAAATCCTTGCCTCTTCTATTCAAGAAAGTTGTGGTCACCAAAATGCCCACAAAGACGTGACCCCAACTTTCTTGAATAGAAGAGACACGGATTTGAGACTATTCACTTTTTATCAATGGTTGGATGGTTGATAAAGAGAATTAGATGACACTCAAAGGGCATTTGTATTTTTTCAAATGCCACTTAACGACAGGTACTAAATTGGCACCTTTTGAAAGTTTGGGTATTGAATTGTCGTGTTTTAAAGTTTGGGGACCAAAGTGGCACTAGACCCAAAGTATAAAGTACTAATAGAGAATTTTCCCTATTTTTAATCATTTAATTTGAAAATAAATAACCACATGTGTGAAAAATGAGAGAAGGAGGATTGCATTGTTGTTTAAAATGTATTTTTTTAAGGGAAAATGAAGTAATAGTAATTCACCAATGTTTTTATATATTTCTAATTCTTTACATATAAAATAGTAGAAAATTTAATTTTCTTCACTTCTTTGGCTAGTTGTGGCAGAGACTTGGGATCAAATCTTACTACCACTAGGGTTAGGGGA